TATTCGGACAGGCTTAGTTATAAAAAACAAATAAAATAATTATTATTATAGCCATTACGTATGGATGACACGTATTTTCAATGGCACATACCTATACTACCTACATAATTTATATTGTATCACAATAACATCGTCTTATTAATTATTATCATACACCTAATAATATTCTAATTTAAACTAGTTTATTTTTCCGAGAAAATGTTTAGAAAGATGTTTATTTGTACAATCATTAATCATTGATAGGTACAAGTTGTTGAATATTACATTTTAAGTTGTTTATTTATTATTCTACCTGTGTTAACTATAAGTATAACCATATATCTAACTAAGTAGGTACCCATAAACATCATAATGGTACCATTTGTATTTGAATATCAAATAAATATTGTATACATGTGTTTTTTATAATCATTTTTATAAAGAAAAACAGATTTTTTTTTGGTTTAAAAAAATGAACCAATACTATAATACTTTAGTATTATATAAAATGGGTAGCAATTTAGCATGACGTACAAACAAATCAATCTATAACGAACAAAGAAATATTAAAAATAATAATATTTTGTAGGTATGACAAAGAAAAATCGATGACTGTTAAATTATATTGAAATATCTCATAGGTAACTCATAAGTATCTATAGGTATAAATATGTATAAATATCTATGGGATCTAGGCTTGTGGAAAAAAAATATATAATAAATAGATAGAGACGAATTACGCGTATATTATGTTTTACCTACAATCTACGCATTACAACACATTATATTATACAATGAACATAGAACGGAGATCTGAATAGGTTAAAACTTATAAGTACAGTACCTAATAATATGTATACCTAGGTACCTATCTAATAACCTATAATGTGTGGCTAATAAGGTACTTGTGCACGCTGTTTCAATGGTGCCTATAAAATATAACCTCATTATGTTTTTATTATATATACAGGGTGAATCATTATGTATACACATCCCATTTTTACCTTTAATAAAGAATTAATTCAAATTCTGGCTTTTAAAATTTTAGATTCTAGTGGAGCTACGATTGTATTCATTTTATTTAACAATGCTGGGTTTTTTTTTGTGTCTGTCTTCACTGTTTGGGGCAGTAAAACGGCTTCGATTTTCTTCTACAGTATCTTGTTCAATGGGAAAGTGAATCAAGTTGGTGCATTCGGGAGGTCAAAACTTAAGATTCCCATTAGTTTTCAAAAGCGCTGGGAAAAACAAAATAAATATTAAGAATAAAAGGTTTGAATTCAAATTTAACATCATCCATTACATTGACCCACTTGGAACCTACTGTACAGTGGAGTGACACCCACTTACCCACTTTTTTAAATAAAGAATTCTACTTAAAAACCATATTTTAAAATTCTTAAGATTATTTTATTCTAATAAATAGTGTCCTGTAGTGGCGATACAAACTTCTGTTTTTCAAACGAGAACCCCTTTTTCACTGTCAATTATTTAGGCGGGGATAATTTTTTTTTAAATATTTTGATACACCTAATTCAAAATTCGAACCAGTAGTTTGTTATTTATTGAAGTGTTCGTGCTAACTACTATGGTTTATTTATAGTCCTTAAAAATGGTTTTACAAAAACATAAAATAGATGTATATATATTGGATCTAGTATTTATTATTTTTGGACTGCTTTAAAAATTATAAATGTTTATAGATTAATACTAATTACTAACATTTTTAAACCACCATTTCCTCTATATCTCTTTAACGTATTATCATGAACCTATTATACTTAGTATAGGTACTTAATGACCAATGTTAAATAAATCAAAAACTACTCGTTTTGATTTTGATTTTTACAGAAAATTATGAGCTAAGTTTATAATTAACAGTAGAAAAGGGGAACTTCCATTTGAAAAACAGAAGTTTGTTTCTAAACAGGACACTCTTTGAGTAATACAAACAGTTTCAAGAATTTGAAAATAAGATCTTTAAAAGTACATTAAAAATAGATATTAAGTATATTTAAAAATTCCAAAAATCAGAATAACTATTGAAAAAAAGGGATGTCTATAGTTGGCGAATCACCCGGTATAATATGTATACGTATATAAATCGACTAAAGCCCCTAGGCCCATCAAGGTTATCTAGAAATCTGCCTACCAGTGGCGGTGACTACGGTGGCGAACTGTGCTCGAAACTCTCTAATTGTCTGCTTCGTCGCCGACGGTTATAACTTATAAATAATTATAATACTGATAATAATATAACATTACGAATGCCAAAAAATTCGCGTTTCTATCAGCTACATTATATACCTATATCAGTATAGCCTATAGGCTATATAGTGTGCCATTATAATGTACTATGTAGGTAGGCGATATACCTATAAATTAGTACCACAAAACGTCAGAACCGTCTACCGTATATGATCGAGAATTCGTGTTATTGACCCTCGTAAGTCATAACAATATTTTGCCGTAGCTTATAATACACGCATGCTGTATAGTTTACGTCAAAACACAATAATGTAGGTCTTGCGGATTTTTTATAATCGGACTACGTAGGTAGGTGCCTACTAACAATATATTTTATAGGTAGTTCTTATACATTCTCTCCATTTTGCGTCGGCATAATATTACGTTGTTTTTAATTATTATTTTGTTATTATTATCTTGTATTTATTTATTTATATGTTATTAAATTTATCGAAATCAATACGAATTACGTTGCAAAAATGAAAACGTACACGGGCAATATATTACGCCCACTAAATAATAATAATTATAATAACTTATAAATCGTCAGTATTTAAATATTAAAGTACATTTAATGGCTTTTAAGTACTCTTGGCACCTACCAATTGTATTTACCCAGGTATTTTTTTTCAATAATTTATTTTAGGAGTTTTACGCTGACTAGTTATTCACTTACTCGCGCACATCGTTCCCGTCAAAATTATTAAAATCGATACTCATTAAAAATACCGAGTAATAACATTTCTTATATTATGGTAGAAACAAGACAGGAAATAGCCACAGAAAAAAGAGCTTTTACTCAAAAAAAGGTAACTGCTCACTTTCAAGAATTTTAGTTACTGCTCGAATATTCGGTCTAAAATCATGTATGGATACAGCATATCTAAACAACAATAAAAGCAATCTAAAAGGGCTAGATAATATTTTGCCAAGAGTCATGTATATAGTATTTTTCTCAATGGTTGTGAAACCAGGGCAATACTGTGAAATATACAATGAAACTAGTAAGTAGCTGTAGGTAAGGAAATGTAAACTAGCAGAAGACTACTTAGTATTAGTTGGACTTAAAGGAATAACAACACACAGGGAGAAGAAGACCAAGTGTAAGTGGAGAAATGATCGGAATTACTTGATGCAACAGGTTGTACCTACTTACCATATTCATGAAAGCAATATCATTAGAAAGAGATCCATGGCAGCTTACATTTATTATAAAAATGAAAAGGATATTTAGTCTTTAGAATAACGAAGATAATATAGGTATAACTTTGGATTAATTATCCGAATCAAATGTCTAAACAGGTAGGTAGGTATTTAAAAAACTGATAACTCAAACATTTTCGCAAAATATTGCCATTCATTTTGACTTGATTCTAATACAATATTAGTGGCATTACAATAACTTCTCGTGGCAAAATAAGTTGTTGTAAGTAGCGAGTGAGTTACCAAATACCAATTATTACCAAGTATTCATGGTGGGTACGTAATATATTATGGTAGTGAGCTTATAGATTTGAAGCCGGTCTGTGATACTATTATTACTATGGCAAGCGTGATGTTAAATATGCCTATTTAAACCTACTGAAACCTTATTATACATATACAGGATGATTATTTTATCTGTAAATACTCATTATTAGTATTTATTTCAAAAAATATTAAATTTATTTTAAGTTAACTTTTTGGAAAATTTACGATGCATGCAGTACCTATAAATAGTCCCCATTTTATTTTACATTTTATTCTACCTATGTTTTGTGGTGAAACCAGTAACAACTTTTTATTTTTTTTAATGGCAATATTATTTTAATTTCATAATCTAAAACAGAATGATATAGTATTTATATATTTTTAATATCAAACGATTCATGTTCTTCATTTTTAAGCAATGCCTATAGACATATATATTTGTTAAGCATTTTAATTTAGGGTGATTGCAACGTTCCATAGGTACCTACTGTTATAAGTTACATAAATAAATTTATTCGTTTCATTCAAATATCAAGAAAAATTAATACTTTGCGAAATTATGAGCGTTCATTAACATAATCACTCTGTATATTATATTAAATTAAAGGTTCATATTGAGTGATGAATTGAATGATATAAGGATGGGTGATATAATAAATACCGATCACCATAATATGTATAAATATATTATATAATATGTAGCTGCAGGATGACGACGCGGCGGCGATGGAAGTATAATTATTTTTATAAGCATATTCAAGCATGTCTATTCCCATTTTATCCTTAAATAGTAGTATTTTGCTTAAGTTATATTATTACTCGCAAAATGTTTCCAAGTTAAATAATGTATTTTATGTTTTATATATAATTAATAGTGTATAACCATTAACCACAGTTTCTAAAACTATACATCTCTAAAAGTTTATGCAAACATTCTATGCACATAGATATTATCGTGGTGCTTAGAGTAGAATAACTCAGAAATATTAATATTATAGTTGCTTGAATTTCGATTTCACGATAAATATTACTAAATTCTAAACTGTCAGAAAAATCATTTATTTGACATTTACATTCGTGGTAAAAAAAAGAACTTCTCTTTACAAAAAATACAGTATGTTTTATACTCCATTTTAAACGTACCGTAGTATTAAAAGTTCCGAAAATCAGAATTTAAGCAATTTCTATTCAATTAAAGGATAAAATGGCAACGACGAGCGGTATTTTTGAATTGTCCAGTTCATAATATTATTATGTTTAACGTGGAAACGAATGACTGCTGCAGCGAAATTGAAAATACTTACAAGACCGGAACGAGTTTTTGTTTTTCAACTTTTTGGCGGCAGTCCTGAGCTTTCCCTGCGTGAACATCAGTAGGAAGTATCCAAAGTACATGAACAGCAGAAACAGCGCCTCGTACCACATGACCACGTCGTCCACTACGATGATGGCCAGGGCGACGATGGACACTAAGTACACTCCGCTGTCCCGGAGCAGAGGCCACTTTTCCAAGGTGATGGCTTTCCTCGCTGCCAGACCGGCACACGCCGATACGCCCAGTGTGTTGTATATGGCGCTGCCCACCACCGTTCCCACTCCGAGGTCGGACTCTGTCAGGAACGTTCCGATGACACTGACGAAGAGTTCGGGCGCGCACGTGGCCGTCGCCATGAACGTCGCTCCCGCCACGTCCGGTGAGATGCCCAAGTCTGCGAAATGCATGTACAAAATGATGTAATAATGACTGTAATAGGTGACCGGAGCCAAAGTGGGCGTAAGATGCAGTGATTACTTGTCATGCTTTAGCTTTCCCCGTATGGGATAGGTAGGATGTATGTCCCAAAGTAGAAATTTCGAATTGTCTCACTAACCATTAAACTATTTCTATGGAAGCTGTATCCTAATCGATTACCGTAAAAACGGCAAAACTTCAAATTATTATAACTTCTTTAACCATAATTTAACTCTTTGAGGGGCAAAAATTTCCTTTAGAAAAAAGACCCATGTGGGCAATATGTCTCTTTACCATAACATTTAGTACATATATCAAAATATTGATAATGATAATAAATGATGAAAAACGCGAGAAATGATATCAGACCAGCGGCAGTGATATTGTTTGATGCATGTATAAGATGATAATAAGGTGATTGGTATGCTGACCATCATCAAACAAGTATTAAAAATAATTTTAAAAGTGGTTAAAATAGTAACCACCGCACCTGAACGGTAAAAAAAAAAGTGGTTAGCATACTAACCACGGCCCCTCAAAGAGTTAACAGAAAACTTTGAAACTTAACAACGAAAAAAGGGTGTCCGGTAAAGTAGAAAAGTTTCCATACCTACATACATACATACATACATACATACATACATACATATATACATACATACAGTCTACAAATTACAATATTGTTATATTACTCATATTAGTTCACCTACTTATCTACGCGGAAATATAGACAGTAGGTAACAATATATTGAAATTCGAGACGTAATAAAACAGATACTACAAAAAATGAAATTGTATTTGTTCTGATTTATTGCGTATTGTATATTATCTTCATGACTATGTGGGTGTCTGTACGCTGTAGAAGACGATTTGTATAGTGCAGTTTGGATAATTCGTCTAACTCAAAACCATACGCAGAGATATTGTAAATATTCGTTTGTCTGGAATTATCTACTGATATATATAATGAGTAGCTATAACTTATAAGAACTAAGAAGAACTACAAAAGCATAAATGACGGTAGTGAAATATATATAACCCGGTCACCAGGTTATTTTATTGCGTAATGAGTATCTATAGGTATATAGTTAGATACTGGTGTTATTTAACATATTATATAAATACTAAATAGTATCATAGGAAATTTAATACTATTATACTACCTATATACGACAATTGTATAAAAGTTTGGCTGTGACTTTTCCTAAAATTAAGTAGTGATCAATTTTTAATTTATTTAAAGTTTTTAATTTATCAAGCAAATAAAAAGCATCTTTCGTACATTTTGTTGCCGAGATTATATTAGCAAGATTAGTTGCTGCATACCTATACAATTAATAGTTTGGTATCTATTGAAAATCTGCATAGTATTATAATCCATTTTTCTGCTACTAGTGAAATAATATGTATGTGACATACCTAAGCATATGCAAAACACCGACGGTAGGAAATAATCATTGCAGACGAATGCTATGAAAACGAATCCATAAAAAGCCACCAAGAAGTGAAAGACAACAGCGCCGTGACGTCTTTGGTTGTCAGTGAAAAAGTCCGGGGGAAAGTCATCAATGGAACGACTGGCATTTTCACATGTGACAGTACTGCTATTACTGAACTCGATGCTGGAACTCGTATCATTCCCTATTGAAAAAAAAAATGTAATATGTTATTTCCTAGTTGAATTCCATGGGTTTTTTTATATATTATTGTATTTCGTTAATGTAATGGTATATAGACCAAAGATTTTTTCCAAGGATCCAATTTACAATTGAAAAGTATTAACATAGTTATTAATGTTTAATACTATTTAGGTAGATAACATTTTAATTTTAATCATCTGATTTTGACCATCTGCTTTGTTATATCGACCATGGATCTTGTAACCACATTATATCCGATAAAAGATGATATTTGGTGTTTTAGAGACTAAAATTATTTTCATTGCATCTTTTAACTTCCAAAATCTTTTTAAAACTTTGGAACATGATAACCATTGTGCTTCTTTTATATAATATGGTAAACCTGAATACTCGCTTACTAAATTTTTAAAAATGACAAAAATTCTTGTTACAGGTTCAAACCACATGGTCTTATAAAATTCACCATATTATTTTGTTTTATATTTTTGATTACATTTGCCATAGCTCATATTGATTACTTTTGAACAATAGTTCCTATACAATATTATACATTATAGCACTGTCCCAAGTCTCTATACTATAGAATTATGGTATTTATACTTCATAGTTCACCTACCTACGTTTTCTTAAATATAGACTGTAAGTATAACTTGAATAATATTAAAAAAGGTAATATGTGAACGACCATGCGGCCGATGTATTAATATTTAATACAAATATATACCTATTATATAATTGGTTATAGATTTGGCGGTAAGCTCCACGCTAAAATCTATCCACCTATATTCATACTAAAAACCAGGTTAAGTGGTGTTTGTGCTTAATAGGTAACGAAAAAAACAAGTTTTTTAAAACGATTTTACTTATTGCATATGACAAACATACCTCAGTACCTGTGTACATGAACTTAATTAAAATATACATACATATTATAAAATATAAATTTTTAAAGCGACACGACAACCTTCAATCACTATTCGCAAATTATTAAAATAACGTTACATATGTATAGGCACTATCATGTTTCACGCAATTAAAATACATTAAGTTAAACAATATATACAGTATAAACCACCAAAGCGATATCAAACTTCATATTTTAGGATTGAAAATTTAAATTCTACTAGGTACTTACTTATTCGGTAGTAATATACTATACAAATACAATATAATATTATGATCAATGTAATAAGGTTTAGAAAATTTAAAAAACAAGGACTTAGGTACCTACATAACGATAACATGTATTTGGGTAGTGTGCAAGACATAATATTATAGTATATATGCTGGCATACAGCATAATGTAGCTATACATAGGGATATTATATTGATTTGTATATCTTTATAATTTAATAATGTCCAACACTAAGAAAACTAAAATGTTGGTTTATCATTATTATAATTAATAATGCATTAAAATTATTTTTAATTTATTCTTATTATACAAATATATAAAAATCGAATTTTTAAATGAAGTTAATTTGTTATACCTATAACCTATATTAACTATTGTAAGTATTTAAAGCTTAGATAATCAGAGTTGTAGAGTAACATATAACTTTAAATAATTTTAAGTTATAGGTAACTAATTAAATATTGTTTAGATAATTAGATTTTTATACAATACAAATCGCAAAAAACATGTTGTTCCCTGGAATATGAAATAAAAATTAATGTATAATTTTATTCAAAAAGTAAAGAACTCAAAACATGCAATAATGATAAAAAATAGTAAGCATTATAATTTTGTTTTATAATGACTACAAAGTTCAAATTATGTAAGAACAATAATATTTCTTTTACAAAACGTTAATAATAGTTCACTATAATAATGACTGTTTAGAGTTTACTGTTAAAAAAATCACCCAGTATATACAATATATCATGTACTATAATGAATAGACCGATACATTTGTTAAGGTCATATGCATGACAATAATATCAGACTTTTCAAGTTTATTTGTAACATTAATACTTAATCATATATTATTATAATATTAAGTATGTTATATGCATTTCAAATGGTCGATAATATTTACAGGACCAAACAATTATTATGTTTATCTAAATTGCATATATATTGCAATAATAATTAAACTTACTGTAGGTATATAGGTATAGGTATAGGTATAGGTATCGTACCTAGAGTCTTATATCTATGACCGATGTGTTGTAGAGTTGGGTAGGAGAATTTAATTTATTTTGAATAGTGAATTCATTAAATAATATTATAAATTTAAAATTATAATGATTGATTTTCAAGACTTTTCAGGTACCACCAGCGTATCACTGGGTGGAGGTCAATCTCAAAAAATATTAATTATATTATTTAACAAAATAATGAAACTAACAATTACTCTTGAATTACTTACTGTTTAACAGAATATTGATCAATAAATAAAGTATTATTCGAGTCAATATTATCAACTATTTTATTTTTTTTAGAATTATTTGGTGTACTATTGCAATATGGAATTGAAACTTTTATAATTACATAGGTATTCTATATTAGGCTTCTAGAAGTTATAACTTATATATACAACGAGTTCAGAGCTCTATTTTCACGACCAGAGATCAAATTTAAAGAAACAAAGTTGTGGTTATTATTTGATTTTGCTGTAAAATTTAAGTTATTAAACTTCGTCTACTTCATAAATATAAAATAAACTACATAAAAGAAGTTCCCTATATTTTTGCTACTAGCCTAAGAGGAAATAAAGAAGAACACAATTTCATCATCATAAAAGTTGTCTTATAAAACTACATTATTCGTCATAGTATATTATACATTTTAATATGTATACATTATACCTACGGATATAAATTATTTATTAACTATTATTGATATTAAATTACATTCTTTGGTTTGTTATTTATACCGTCATAATGTAGTTTTATATTTTATACAATAAAGTCGAAAACATAAAAGTATCAACTTTAAAAGTATGATTTATTATATTGTTTATATACTGAAATTTACAATAGTAAATATTTTGTAATATTGTAATATGTAGGTACCTATTTATTAATATAATATCAATATGTCTTATGCAAGTAGTAAGCAGGTATAACATATTATATTCATATGTATATTACCTGCATATAATAACTATGCAGAGCCGTCCTAGTGCCCATGCGCAAGGAAACTCTACTAACAATAATATAATGTAAGTACAGGTTATGAGATTTACTGAGAAACAAAATATTTTCATAAAGTTTAATTTATTTGTTTATTATTATTTATTTGTAATTATAATTAAAGGAGCACAAAACACAAAAATAAGTTTTTTTTTTAATTTGAAATAATGTTCAGTTCTAAGAATAATGGTATAGATTGTACGTTTCTATCCACATTATTCAATGAGTAGTAATTGAAAAAACACGCTTGACGTCATTGGGCCGAACTCACGGTAGTTGCCGATCTTACACGTGTAAATGACAAATGTTATTCAAAAATATCTATTTAGTACATTTTTAATATCGAGAAAAAAACCAAACGTTATATTGAAATTCTGATACTTCTATCGTCTTAAGCACAAAGATCACATTTATCTACATAAATCATCCATCAAATATCAAAAGAAATAAAGGTTTTAAATTTAATTTTCAACATGGAGTTGGTCATAGAATTAAAGTTTAAGAAAGAAAAACGGTGGATAAGTGGATGTCGCTCTGCTGTACAGTAGGTTACAAGTGGGCCACTGAGCGAAGATGGTCTGACTGACCTATGATATATTACTAAGTATATAGGCACCGAATGCATGGGAGCTCGGGGGCCTCAGCCCCCTTTGAAAAGATTAATCGGGGCTTATGCAAGGCCGTAGCCAAAAAAATATTTGTGGGGGAGGGGGGGTTAGAGTATAAATATGTTATATTATGTAATAAAACATGAAATAACAACCCCCCCTGGCTAAGGCCTTGGGCTCATGAATATAATAAGGGCAGAAGTTAAGGCTAATAAGTAGTAAGTTAGCCCTCATTGACATTTACAAAACCTGGCTCCTATGACTAAGTATATTTAATGATATTATTGTAAATAAAGTAATTTATTTACCTATTTAAGTGGAACCTTGTTTTAAATTTTCAATCATTAGATATAAAAGTTGAACATTTTATAAATTTTTACTACAAAATAATTTTAGATTGTGGGTGGAACGATGAATGTATTGACTTTACAATGATGTGTGTTTTTTTACTTTTTTTTTATTTTTGTGTGTCATCACTTTTTAGGACAGTAAAATTTAAAAATGCTTAGATTTTCTTCAACAGTATTTCTTCTGATAGGAAAGTGAATCTAGTTGGTACCTTGGGGGGTCAAAAGTAAACATTTCCCAGTAGTTTTCAAAAGTGCCGTGAAAAACAAAAGAAAAATTAACGAAAAACGGGAATTCGTACGGAAAATCTGTTTTCAAAAAAATCGATTTGGGTTTTTGGTGCAACTCTTAAACAAATGATCGTATAGGTACATGGAGTTTTCACTGAATGTATATATTAATATTTTCTATACACAATAATAACATTTTCAAAATATTTTGACTGTTTTTGAGCTGTTTACGGACCTTGTCAGTTTTCAATTTTTTTAGTTTATTTTTCTATAAATATCAATAAAATTTTATTTGTTGGGTAATAAAGCGTGAAAATTTAATGCAAGATCCCTGATATATTGTTACAATAACAGTTGAAAAATACTGAAAATACATAAGCACAATTGTTTTTCATAATCATTTAAAGTTCGAATTTTGACAAAATTTAAAAATTATTTTGTAGTTAAAATGTATAAAATGTTCAACTTTTATTACTAAGGATAAAAAATTTAAAACAAGGTTCCACGTAAATAGCTTATAATATTAAATAAATTACTTTATTCACAATAATATCATCAATTAATATACTTAGTAATATATCATTATATCATATACTGACTGACCGTTTTCGCTCAGAATCGTTTTTCTTATACTATGATAGTATATCATTGAATTTAAATTTAACACCTTCCATTAC